TATGACGTTTTGTGAAAAATATGTACGCGATGGAGAAAAATGGATATCATTTTCGGATTCAGCGTACAGGAATTACCGTAGAACATGTAAAAATTTCAAGACAATAAAACCATCGCAGGCCTGTGTTATTTGCATTTCAGATCACAAAACAGTTAATCAAATTACGGATTTGCATAAAAATGAACTGAGGTTTACATGACATTACCTCAGTTGTTATTTTAACTTGACGTAGGTGGAACGTTATAAATTTCATTATCCTTTAATTGTTTTATGCAGTGTGCTTCTTGTTCTTCGCCATTACATATTTAAATACCATTTAACAACACTATCTGTATTTAATAATTTAAAAATATTAGCATCCTTCGTTTATATTCAGTAAATGTTTAAAACATTATCGTTAATATTCAAAATCGTTATGTTAATTTCCAATGTTCAGAGGTGGTTTAATTGCTGCTACCAGAATTGTTTAAGACTATCGTCAATATTCAGTACTAGATTAAATTGGCAATCACATTTCCCATGATCAACAGTTGTTTAAGACAGTAGTTACTATCTATCATGTTTAAGATGATCGTCAATATTCTGTTGCTTAAAACAATTGTCAATGTACTTTCTAATCGGCAGTTTTTAAGACTATCGTCAATATTCTGTTGCTTAAAATAATCGTCACTGTACTTTCTAATCAGCAGTTTTATGACTATCGTCAATATTCTGTTGCTTAAAACAATCGTCACTGTACTTTTTAATCGGCAGTTTTTAAGACTATCGTCAATATTTTGTTGCTTAAAACAATCGTCACTGTACTTTCTAATCGGCAATTTTTAAGACTATCGTCAATATTCTGTTGCTTAAAACAATCGTCACTGTACTTTCTAATCAACAGTTTTTAGGACTATCGTCAATATTCTGTTGCTTAAAACAATCGTCACTGTACTTTCTAATCGGCAGTTTTTAAGACTATCGTCAATATTCTGTTGCTTAAAATAATCGTCACTGTACTTTCTAATCAACAGTTTTTAAGACAATAGTCAATATTCTGTTGCTTAAAACAATCGTCACTGTACTTTCTAATCAACAGTTTTTAAGACTATCGTCAATATTCTGTTGCTTAAAACAATCGTCACTGTACTTTCTAATCAACAGTTTTAAGACTATCGTCAATATTCTGTTGTTTAAAACAATCGTCACTGTACTTTCTAATCGGCAGTTTTTAAGACTATCGTCAATATTCTGTTGCTTAAAACAATCGTCACTGTACTTTCTAATCAACAGTTTTTAAGACTATCGTCAATATTCTGTTGTTTAAAATAATCGTCACTGTACTTTCTAATCAGCAGTTTTAAGATGATCACCACAATCTTCAATAATAGTTTCAAACAGTTTGGATTATTTTAAAAATAATTGTACTTATCGTTCACATCTAACAAATGTTTGATCTGATGATATTATCGTCCATATTAAACAGATTTTTTAAAACAGTGTTCACTCATGTTCAGCAGTTTTCAAAGAATTATATTTTTTATTCAAAAACTGACCAAATAATTGACGTTATCTCTAAATTAATCGACATTATCGCTCACCTGAAATTCTTTAAAACATTATGGATTAAAGGAAATACATTACTAGTTAAAAGATAATTAATCGGATCGTCACAATATCCTATATTCCGTAATTATTCGTGATAATCGTTTGTTTGTAGTTAAGCACAAAGCTACACAATAGGTCATCTGTGCTCTACCAACCACGGTATCGAAACCCGGTCTCTAGCGTTGTAAATCCACAGACATACTATTTTTCTGTTGAAGCGGCACGATTAATACAATTCTAATGTTTTGGTTAACAGGCCTGATACTTAGTTTTACTTTTGTGTTTTTTAGACCCAAAGCTGCACAATGGGCTATTTGGGCTGTGGCCACCGCAGGACTCAAATTTGAATTTTAGCGCTATAAGCCCACAAACCTACCGATGAACCACCAGTATTTTGACTAATGTCAAAAGGCTGTTGACATGTAAGATATTTTAAAAGAATTTCATAGCTTGCTTTGTACGTAAAGTCTGGAAAACTTTCAACTATTTTGTCCTTTTTTTAACACGGAAGTATTTGTGTTTTTTAAGGTGGACTGCTGGAGCCTGGGTGTCCTACTGTACACCTTGGTGTACGGAGCTATGCCCTTTGATGGTGGCAATTTTAAACGTCTTGTGCGTCAGATTTGTGAAGGAGATTATCACGAACCCAAAATAAAATCCGGTAAGTAACCAAAATTAATAACTAAATACTAATTCATTTTATCTAAGGTTTGGCTACTGATCTGCTATTGTCTTCAGAGAAGTTTCGAGAAGAAGCATTTCAGTTTTAGTAAATGCTCTTGAGGGAAGTCTGCTGGTTTGTCCACTCAGGGCCAGATTAAGGGGGCGGACGGGGCCCAGGCTTAGAAGGGGCACATAGCTTACCAGTACAGAAATGACATTTTAGGTTGTTAGCCGCAGCATAGTGGCTCATAAAATAGCTCCGAGTTTGTGTGTTGTTGTTTTTTTTCGAAGTACAAACTTTACAAACTTTTAGCTCATAGCTCCGCCAACTCCTGGCCGATTTGAGATCTAATTACAGTTTTGGACTCAAGATTGGTGTATTTGACCACACCAAAGGTCTCATACATTAATTTACTCTAATCCTGGCTAAAAGGATCTCAGTTTGAGGGTAGGCTGGTAGAGATCCTGATGAGTAACGGAATCGAATGGAGTATACGTGCGCCCTAGGTTGGTATTGTTGGCGCACAAAAATATAGCTAATAAAACGAAAGAAAAAAAAAGTCTTATAGATTAATTTACTCTAATCCTACCTTAAAGAATTTTAAGTGCTGTGGCTACTGAGGATTCCCTTTCGTTTAACTTTAGAATGACTTGAGCGTTCTTTCGCATAGCCCACCAATAAAATATATTGTAGGTTGTCAATGCAAGTAGGGGGCCCATGGTCGAGTCGAGTCACCCTTAATTCGTCCCTGTGTCCACTCGATTAATAGGGTAGTGTTTATATTCCACGATTTCTGGACTGCTGACTTTATATAAATTGTGAGTTTTTCTTTTTCTTCTTCTGTTAGGCTGTAATTGCGTCTTCTGTAGCTGTAGCTACATCTAAAGTTTATATTTTGTTGCGTGTCAGAGCGAATTTTAATTCTTTACTTAGCACACTTTCTTCAGGTTCTTTGAATAGTAATACTATTATTCCAAAAGTTTGTTTTTCAAATCAGTTACATTCTGCTGGACATGGGATACTTATCTATCCATCTTACAAATGCTGTCACTTATGTAATTTAGGTGTCGCCGACAATTCTCGTCAAAATTTTCACGTGTTTCTAACGTGAGTCGATCTTGTAAGATGTATGACCATCTGTGAAGACCGAAACGTTAATTTGTGGTTTTACTATATACCTTTTTGATATGAAATTAATCTTACCGTTACATAATGCTTTATAGTATCAGGATAGGTTTACTAAGAATGCCGTTGATTCTCAGGCTATTTACTTATTTATATGGAGAATGTTTTCGAGTTTCAGACTAGTTTTTACGAAGAATGTTCTCTCTAGTTTAAAGCTGATTTTAACAAGAATATCGTATTGTTTGAGGTTTGTTTTTACTTACAATTCCTTTGTATCAAGCACGTAATATCTAAGGATGTTACACAAAGCAAACGTTATATTTAAAACAATAAGCATATGTAAATTTTATGTAAGCTATGTGTTTTTTTTTATATAACACATTCATCCTTTCGTTTGTTGATTAACACTCTAGTTTCAGAGAATCGCGAAAAAAAGAAACTCAAAAATTTGTTATGTTTTATTGACTAAGTAACTCTAATTATTTTGATATTTTTGCATTAAAGTTTGGCTTATGTCTTAATTACGTATTTCTGTTTTCTGGTTTGAGAAAAAGGAATGTAAAAAATATATTTTCTTTTATTGACCAAGTAGCTCTATTGTTTGTTGTTTTTGCGTTAAAGGTTTGATGTATGTGTATTATTTACCGTAATTTGGGTATTTTAGATAATTTCTTGTGACGTTTCTTGACAGAGGCATCTGGGTTAATTCGACGTCTGTTGACAGTGAGTCCTGCTAAACGAGCCACCATTGTAGACATCTGTATGGACTGGTGGGTTAATCTTGGCTACAATAATTCTCTGCTTCAGGTTTCAGAAGATTTGTCTAATCTGACGCCTGTTCGCCTTGAACTTCTGCTTGCTCTAATGCCTTCTTCTTCAATGACGTTAAATCCTTTTCAGAAGGAAGATTTTTCTGTTGTTCCTGTTCGGACAGCAAAATATGTTGTATCAGACAATCATACCTCTTCTAGCCTTACTGCTGTTTCTGAAAATGGCATCCCAGAGGAGTTATTTGAAGGAGAAGATGGTGACACTACCACTGATAGCTTTGATTTTGTTGAAGGAGAAGCCGCCGAGTATCTTATTACAAGTGCTGCTAAGTATCAGAAATTACACGACTCTAATAATGCAGAAGAAAATAGCCTATCCTTTGGAACATTAAATACAAATATTGGGGGATCGAAATGTGTAACACAAGAACCGGTCGAGAAAAATATGGATAAATCATTGAGTGTGAGTTACGAATCCCAAAACATTCGAAAATCAAACTTGTTACTGCACACTTTCAATCAAGATAATAAGTCATATTCTACATATACAGACTTGGAAGATGAATCCATCAAAACGTCGCCAAACATGGTGACAACTGACAATCAAGGGGACCAAAAATCTGGATATACCTTTGAAATTGAAGAAGCGCTTCATGATAGAAAACCAGTAATTACCGATCATAGCAAAGAGGGTGAGATGAAAATAGAAGAGAAGGAATATGACAATAGAGAACCGCAACTGACTATACCAAATACTTCTCAGAGTGCCCTTGAGATACGCCTCCTATCACAAGACATGTTCGAAGATTCAGGTAAAAATAGTTATACTTCGCCAGAGAATTCAGAAGGTAATGAGAAAAAAGATCTGAAAACACCAATGAATAATGAGGACAACGAATGTGATTCATTATATAAGGAACATGTGACGAAAACACCCGTTATGCCTCAACAACAAAAAGATATTTACGAACACACAAGAGAAAATGAAACCAATCATAAACTTTCAGATGAAAAACAAAGTACTGAAAAACTTGGAGGTTATTTACTAGGTAACGAAAACGAGTATAAAAACGAACCACAGTCTAAAACTTCATCTAACCAAAAAGAGGATGTTTCAGTAACGAGTGATGGTGAAGTAACAGTAATGAATAAACAGAGTAACAATCCTTTAATAGAAGAAGTCCTATCTCAGGACTGTGGTGCACCAACTAGCTCTAATACTCCCACCATTATTGCAGAACAACAAAGTGATTCTAATTCTGTGACAGTTCTTCAGAAAGATCGTATAGTAATACAACCACAAAAAGACGGTTCACTAAATGCCTGTCAATCTCCAGAAGAGAGCGCCTCCTGTAAGACTGTACTAGAAATTGGAATCTCTTCTTCTTCTTCGAGTGTACCAACAGATAGTGTACATATCATCACCACTCCTGCTAAACCTGATGAAAGCGTTTCTTTGAGTGAAGAGAGAAAAGATAGTTCAACTGAGCGGACAGAAATCTCATCTAATAAACCAATAAGTGAGAATAGTGTACCCATTAAAAATACTTTTAAAATGAATAGTTCTACAAGTAAAACTGTTCCAAAGCGAGATATCTCTCCTTCAAAAACAAATCTACAGACAAACAATTTACCCATTAAAAGTACTTTAAAAACAGGAAAGTCAGCCAATAATCATAAGGAAAAAGCATCTTCTGAGCAGATAACAGCACATTCTGTTCTATCCCAGGCAATATCACAGGAAAGGAATTCATTTGGGCAGATTATGCCAAATGAAGCCAAATCATTAGATCAAGATACAGAACAAGACCATAGGTTGTCTGACCAGAATTTTAAAAATAAGGACACTGAATTTGATCCTAGTTGTAAACAAAATAAGTCACTTATTCAGACTGATGATCTTCTAAATAACAAGTCACACGATAAAACAACAAAAGAATATAACGTATCATTGTATCAAGATAAAGTACATGAAAACATATCATTTGATCGAAGTACTTCACATGAAGGCAAAATGTCAGACATGGAAATAGCTGAAGCAGACAGTTCGCTCATTCAAACCTCAACTAACACGAATGATTCCACTGAGAAAGCTAAGCCTTCTAACAAAAATGTCCAAAATAAAAAGAAATGTCCAAGTAAGTTACCAGTTGTTCAAAAAGCTGAAACATCTTTTCAAAAAACTACAACTAAAAGCAAAACATGTGTTGAAATAGGACAACCAAATCTTACTCAAACAAACAAACCCGGTGTTCGAAAACCTGGAAAAATTGCAATTCCCACTTTCTTTGAATCTCCAAAACCTTGTTCATCACCACAGGGAACAGAAGTCAGAAAAATATTTTCGCTTAAATCCGTTTCTGATGCAAGGAAAGCCTTTGAAAATAAAGTGAATTCACCAGCTAAAGAAACTGATACACACAAAATATCAGAAAAAACAAAAGATTCAAAAACTGCTCCCTCTAGTGAAAATTTCACTAAATCTTCAAACACGCCTGTAACGACATCACCCACGTCTCCATCAAGTACGCCACGGATAACTGGTTCAATTGATGATTCCTCAAAAAGAAAAAGTCCGTCTCCAATCAAATCCCCACCAGTAATCGAATCCTCCATGTCTTCAAATTTGATACAATCATCGCCCATAAAGCCAGGGAAGGGCCAGTCACCTCCAACCTCAAAGGCAATAAAAGGATCCCCTACCTCTCAAGAAACACCATCTTCATGTAAAGTTTCAAAACCATCATCTTCTGTACCCACTAGCATTTCTCGGAGAGGAAGTTCCTCTCGAAGATCTCGCTCTCCTGAAAAGAAGAATTCTAGTCAAGCCCAGTCCAGTTCACCAGAAGGCAAAAATTGTAAGCAACATACAAATAAAAATACTCTGTCCTTAAATCACAGTCTGACTACTTGTAAAGATGAACAAACCAAAATAGTTCTCAAAAATAAAATTTTGAAGGAGGAGTCGGTAAAGCAAGAAATAATATCTGAGATATTAGCTGAAGAAAAGCAACATGGTGATACACTGAACATAAACACTGCTTTAACGACGCAAGATACATCTTCAGAAAGTAAAGGAAAGGAAGGGAGTCAAATTGAACCAGAGTGTCAAAATAGCATATCATATAATACTGATAAAGTTAATAAGGTTAAAACAAAAGTTAAAAGTATCAAGAAAAATAAAGAATCAAATATAAAGTTAATGCAAAATGATGGCAAATCAAGAGATTTAACTCCAAATCAAAGTATTTTGGCCTTTGAAAACAACCAGATTGTTCCAAATGAAAAGTCGGATTCTTTGGAAACAGTAGACATCAGTAAAAAAATAGAGAACTTTAAGTCCTCTGAGGATTTTGAACAGAAAGAAAATAAAGTAATGCATTTGAAATCAGAAGAAAAAACAAAAGGAAACAAAACCACGCACGAAAGACAAGAACGTGAGCAATTCTTGTCGACTAAAAGTCCTGCCGTTACTGGCATTGAAGTGATCAAACAAAAAGAAATGTCAAGAAAAACTGAGAATCCAGCAATATCAGATAAAAACACACAGGAAAGACAATCTTTGTCAACTGAAAGTTTTATCACTGATGACGTACAAATGATTAAACAAAAAGAACCACCCAGAAAGGCTGAGAACCTACCAAAAACAGGTAAAAACACGCAGGAACCATTGTCGACTGAAAGTTTTATCACTAATGATGTACAAATGATTAAACAAAAAGAACCACCCAGAAAGGCTGAGAACCTACCAAAAACAGGTAAAAACATGCAGGAACCATTGTCGATTGAAAGTTCTATCACTGATGATGTACAAATGATTAAACAAAATGAACCACCCAGAAAGGCTGAGAACCTACCAAAAACAGGTAAAAACACGCAGGAACCATTGTCGATTGAAAGTTTTATCACTGATGATGTACAAATGATTAAACAAAATGAACCACCCAGAAAGGCTGAGAACCTACCAAAAACAGGTAAAAACACGCAGGAACCATTGTCGATTGAAAGTTTTATCACTGATGATGTACAAATGATTAAACAAGACAAACCATCCAGAAAGGCTGAGAACCTACCAAAAACAGGTAAAAACACGCAGGAACCATTGTCGACTGAAAGTTTTATCACTGATGATGTACAAATGATTAAACAAGACAAACCATCCAG